CGACATCCATTCATTTCCCACTCCCTTTCTTGGAAGAATGCCACATATGATCGGGATTCCTCCCTTGCTCCTAACTAATTCAATGGCTGTCCTAAATCTCTGTATTAGTTCCTCACTCCTAACTCGCCCAACATCATTACCCCCTGCACTAATACAAATAATGGGATTGTTCCCATTTCCCGTCATAATATCATTCATGTTTTCAACAATATCACCAATTCCAGCTCCCGGATAGCAAACCCTTAATCTGTTCCCCCTATCTCTGGCACAAAACGTTCTGTCTAAATACCTCACCTGGGAATCTCCCTCAACCAAAATTCGCTTGGTACCACCCCAACTTTCTGAGCAGCCTGAGGGGCCTGCGCTCCGCCGTTCCCCGCTGCAGGCGCACTACAGCACTCGTCCTCCAACACGGCAAATGAATTTGCCGTCCTTAGGGCGTCTGTAGGCGGCTTTGTCAAGGTCTTCTTAAGACCCCTGTCTTTCACTACTCTCCACGATGAGGTCTCGTCAACACTGGTCTCCTCCTTCGTTTCCTCTCGAAGTCTCAGCCGTCGTACCTCCTCCCGCAGGGAATCCATCTCTGCTCTCAGAGCTCCAACCAAACTCACCAAATCATTAACTAATCCTTCCATTATTGCAATAATAATGTTACTCCAAAGCTCCAGCTAACACAACCTCTCACTGTGACAGCACCTGACTGACTGAATTTACCCAAGTCGAATGTAATTTCCAGCGAATGTAATTTAAGCATTGTCAATCTTTCTTCTTCTTCTTCTTCTTTCAGGTTTCTAATTTGGGGAGTTAACTTAGTCATCCTACGCTGGACACGTTCTAATGAATTTATATCCATTCTATAGTACGGGGACCAAAACTGAACTGCATAATCTAAATGGGGCCTAACCAGAGCAAGATATAGCTGAAGAACAACACCAGGTGTCTTGTTACTAACGCTTCAATTAATAAATCCCTGTGTCATATTAACCTTATTACGAACATTTATGCATTGATTTTTGGGTTTTAAACTCTTACTAATCATAACTCCCAGATCCCTTTTGCAATCCAACTTCACAATCTCAACACCATCTAGCTCGTATCTTGTAACTCTATCATCATTACCTAGCCTCAAAACCTTACATTTATCAGCATTAAACTGCATCTGCCAATCTTTTGAACATTTCAAAACCCTATTTAGATCAACTTGAAGTGATAGTGAGTCCTCCTCCGTGTTTATTTCCTTCTCGATTTTTGTATCATTGGTAAATTTGCAAATATTGCTGCTCAAATCTGAATATATATCCTATACGTATACTATAAATAACAGAGGTCCCAGGACAGAGCCTCGGGACACTCCACTAACAACATTTTCCCACTCTGACTTAACCCCCATTTATACTAACTCTGTTTCCTTTGGTATAGTCATACCCTAATCCAACTTAATATAGCACCCCAATACCATGAGCCTCTATTTTTTTAATCAGTCTTTCATGTGGCACTGTATCAAAAGCTTTGCTAAAGTCAAGGTACACAACATCACAATCCATACCACTATCAACTGCCTCAACTATGCTGGAATAAAATGATAGCAAATTTGTTAAACATGAACGGCCATTTGTAAACCCATGTTGTGAATCATTGATTAATTTATGTTTTTCAAGATAAAGACAAATGGTATTTGCAATTATCGACTCGAGTAACTTTCCTACAATAGACATTAAGTTAAATGTTTGACGCGAGTGATCTATCTCCTTTTTTGAAAATTGGTACCACATTAGCAACCTTCCACGACTCTGGTACTCTGCTTGACTCTAATGATTTATTAAATATTGTAGACACTGGCTACAATATTTAGAGCTGGATATTCTACAATATTTAGAGCTCCTGCAAAGAGCTCCTCATTGCAGGAGCTCCTTTGCTCCTCTTTCCTTGTGGATTATCACATTAGCTTACTTACTTGAAACCTACTGGAAAGGGGTTCTGGGAGTTGTTCTATTCAAGCCCGGCCCGGGGCCCGGCTCGACTTGTGAGAGCTTGGTCCAACAGGCTGTTACTTGGAGCGGCCCGCAGCCCCACATACCCACCACAGCCCGGTTGGACCAGCACTCCTTGAAGAAAACTATCCAGTTTTCTCTTGAAAATGTCGACGGTTGTTCCGGCAATACCTCATACTGGCTGGGAGGAGGTTGAACAGCCGCGGACCTCTGATGTTTATACAGTGTTCTCTGATTGTGCCTATGGCACCTCTGCTCTTCACTGGTTCTATTCTGCATTTTCTTCCATATCGTTCACTCCAGTACATTGTTATTTTACTGTGTAGATTTGGGACCTGGCCCTCCAGTATTTTCCATGTGTATATTATTTGGTATCTCTCGTCTCCTTTCTAGCGAGTACATTAGGAGAGCTTTGAGACGTTCCTAATAATTTAGGTGCTTTATCGCGTCTATGCGTGCCGTATATGTTTTCTGTATTCCCTCTATTTCAGCAATCTCTCCTGCTCTGAAGTGGGAAGTGAGTACTGAGCAGTACTCAAGACAGGACAAAAGTGATTTGAATAGTACAACCATTGTGATGGGATCCATAGATTTGAAAGTTTTCGTAATCCATCCTATCATTTTTCAGGCTGAAGCAATATTTGCTTGGCTATGCTCCCTAAACATTAGGTCGACAAACATCATTATTTCCAAATCCTTAACATGTTGCTTTTCTACTATGGGCAGATTTGATTGTGTTTTTAACCCTGTATTATGTTTAAGGTCCTAAAATCAGTAGGATATTTACATGCTGATTTTTGTCATCGGCAAAGGATGATACGAAGCTATGACTTATATTTGTGTCTATATCTAATATGAGAATAATGAAAAGCAGTGGTGCAAGGACTGTACAACTCTTGAGGTACGGAGCTGTTAACTGCGCTTGGACTCGATTTTATATGGTTAACTGTCACTCTTTGTGATCTGTTCGACAGAAAAATGAGTATCCACCGTCTTACTTCACCAGATATTCTCATTGACTTCATTTTGTATGCTAACACTCCATAGTCACATTTATCGACCTAAATTTTATCGTAGGTTTGCAACTACCTCATTCCTCTGACTTACTAGTCAGGAATGCCACCAGACTTCGACGGAAGACTCATTCACATTTACCTCCCTAGGCCAATGAAGTGACTTACAACTCCCCCTAAATGAACCTGGCATGCTATAGAGTCCTTACACACTCGGCTGGTCCCTTCGACGACAATACATTCTTGGACCTTCTTCAAAAGGTACCTGTTACGAACCCGGATCCAGCGTCCGAGCCTGGAGCAGTGACAACCACCCCATCTGTGGGTCAGCTCCCGAAACCCCCGCCAAGCGGACGACGACACCTGGTGAGGACAGCGTGTACTGGCCTCGAGGACCAGTTTCCAGTCTGGTTCAGCGCTCAACACCGCCGCTCCTGACCTCTGGTGAGGTGGTGCTCCGACGACAGCGCCATCTATGGACTGGATACGTCAGGTGTTTGTGCCCGAGCCCGTAAGTGAGGTGTATTAGTGTCCCGGTTATTGATGACGTGTCTAGCTTACAGAGCCGACCTGGGACCACTGTGATGGAAGTGGAGTCAGTCTACCCGAGGCAGCCAGTCTCCATACCTTGAACGTTGCTGCAGCTGTTGTGAAGTCGTCCCCCCGGAAGAACACTGTGGTGTGTTAGCCTGCCAGTGGAGTGGCAGTAAGAGGATTTACCCGGGACCGACTGTTGGAGACGATCATCCACTGGGGTATTGAGGACAGGAGGGTGATTTGTGATATCACACGAGACTCCTGTCTAGGGCGTACCCCTTATATCGTTCGTGGAGTGGCCGTACCAGCCTTGGTGGCTCAGAACATGCCAGCAGACCAGCTGGACGTGTGGTTGACGGCCTCCACGACGGTGCCCCCAGTGGACCTTTGTTTTGGCTGACCTGTGGCCAGGGTAGGCTCAACTTCTTTGGATATTTCGTTGTGTCGGCCACGAAGAAGCACCAAGGACTCAGCACCAAGTGGTGTGGCACCAGCGTCTTCAGCAGAAGACCACGATTATGGATTAATCCCCTTGTATAGTGTTAATACCCCCCCCCCCCTTGTGTAACCGTTTTATATATTATTTATTGGTGACGGACATTATATTATATTAAGTTTTTGCCTTTATTTCCCTTCCCCTTTAAGTTACTTGCGTCACGGATCGCATCCCTTGAAAGCCACTGCTGGCTTGGGGTCGGATATAACTTCCTCTAACAACATCAGAGTAAGGACCCCGTTGCGTCCCGAGAGGGCCGTAACAGTACCCCAGACGCCTCAGGTGTGGCCAGAGTCCTGTTGCAATACATTTTGAGCTCGACTCGTCACTTAAAAATCCAAATCTGTCAGATTTCCACGAGAGCTCTAAGGTCATGTCCTTCCCATACGAAGCCTGGCTGGACAGTGAGCCGGTCTTCGCTCCCTGGGCCCAGCTTGGTGTTTGCTGATGATGTCACAGAAAGCTCGTCGCTTATTGGCTGAGCATCTGAGCCACCACCACTCACCTTCTCGTTGTGTGAGCCCGAGTCACGTGTCGTCGCCCCATATCAAGCCTCGGATGACTCGCCGCCCGTCTGGGCGGTCATTTTTTCCGCAATTTGCCAATCTTTACCTTTGCACCACTATTTATCTCGCAAGATTGTGTTTAAGACTCATTCCTGTTGAATTTAGATTACAGCTTGGGCCATCTGTGATCTTCCGAGGTAGGGGAAAAAGGTATGCTGATGTCCACCCAGACTACATCCTTTCCCCAATAAAAACTTCACCCGAGTCGTCCCCCTAGACTATGGCCACTCCCCCCCCCCTTACACTCTTCCCCCAACAATGACCTCACCTTGGTCCCCCCCCCCCCACGGACGCTGGATACCCCCCCTCCCAACACCCCAAGCACTGTTGACACAGCTGAGTTTACCAACGCCAAGTGTGTAATATTGGCTGTCTTAGCTTCCTTAAGACGACCAGTATGAGCGGCGCCGTCTGCCGCACGCCCCCGGCGCCGTCTGCCGCACGCCCCCAGCGCCGTCTGCCGCACGCCCCCGGCGCCGTCTGCCTCACGCCACCGGCGCCGTCTGCTTCACGCCACCGGCGCCGTCTGCTTTACGCCACCGGCGCCGTCTGCCGCACGCCCCAGCGCCGTCTGCCGCACGCCCCCGGCGCCGTCTGCTTCACGCCCCCGGCGCCGTCTGCTTCACGCCACCGCCCAAGACTGCCGCACGCCACCCGCGCCGTCTGCTTCACGCCACCGCCCAAGACTGCCGCACGCCCCCGGCCAAGTCTGCTTCACGCCACCGGCGCCGTCTGCTTCACGCCACCGCCCAAGACTGCCGCACGCCCCCGGCCAAGTCTGCTTCACGCCACCGGCCCAGTCTGCCGCACGCCACCGCCCAAGTCTGCCGCACGCCACCGCCCAAGTCTGCCGCACGCCACCGCCCAAGTCTGCCGCACGCCACCGCCCAAGTCTGCCGCACGCCACCGCCCAAGTCTGCCGCACGCCACCGCCCAAGTCTGCCGCACGCCACCGCCCAAGTCTGCCGCACGCCACCGCCCAAGTCTGCCGCACGCCACCGCCCAAGTCTGCCGCACGCCACCGCCCAAGTCTGCCGCACGCCACCGCCCAAGTCTGCCGCACGCCACCGCCCAAGACTGCCGCACGCCACTGCCCAAGACTGCCGCACGCCACCGCCCAAGTCTGCCGCACGCCACCGCCCAAGTCTGCCGCACGCCACCGCCCAAGACTGCCGCACGCCACCGCCCAAGTCTGCCGCACGCCACCGCCCAAGACTGCCGCACGCCACCGCCCAAGACTGCCGCACGCCACCGCCCAAGACTGCCGCACGCCACCGCCCAAGACTGCCGCACGCCACCGCCCAAGTCTGCCGCACGCCACCGGCGCTCATCGTCATCCCAGAGGGGGAGGAGTGGTCACTAGAGGTGGTGCGCCAGAGACCGGTCACACGTCAAGTGTCAACAACAAGCCGCACCTTCACCAGTTGGCTGGCCACTGAGTAAGGAAGCCCTCTCCTCCCCCCTTCCTGAAGAGCAGTCAGGGCGCCACACCCACAAACATCGAAGACACCAAGTGACAGAATTAAGATCTATTACAAGTATTTAGCTCAGTGCCAGTGAGCAGTGACATTTAGTGACAGTTTTAGTTGCCATTCGCAGTGTGTATAGTGCCTGTGGTGCGGGCACCAGTGACCACCAGACGTCATCGTGGAGAGGAGCCAAGAGTCTCCACGAGGTATCTCCTCCTAGTGTTGTTTGGTGTTGGGCTTAACGCCTATATTAACCTCTGGAAGGTTACTAAGGCAACAACAGCAGCTTATACTGACCAACCAGTAACACTACTTTAGATCTGGACTGTGTACAGGACTAAACTCGCAGTGCATATACACCAAGAAGCGATGTATATGTACCTCTATGTATACATGTCGCCGGGATCAACGTGCTGGGGCTATACATAAACTTTGGGAAGGTTGCAGAATGTATATCTGCAGTGAGCCAGCATCTCTCTTAGCTGGGTTTATATATATTAAATAGTATCTTTATTGGGTCGATAACTAGGGTTAACAATTATAGTAACAAAGCCAACCACCCTTTGAAAAATGGATGAATCTTAGGCTCAATCTGATCCCACACAAGGTATGTTGACGACATTTTTATGCAGGTACCTGATGTCAGATGTCTGCTGCAGCAGCAGCAGGAGGCACTCGAGCAGAATTCTGTGTTCAGTTTCACTTACGAGATGGAGAAGGATGGGAAGCTGCCCTTTCTAGATGTAACAGTCACGGAAAGGAATGGAGGCTTCCACACTGCAGTCTACACTAAGGAAACAAACATAGGAATGTGCCTTAATGCCAACAGTGACTGCCCAGACAGGTACAAGAGGAGTGTTGTCAACGCTTACGTTGACCGGGCTCTCAGCCACAGCTCAGGATGGTAGCAAGTCGATGAAGAACTCTGTAGGGTAAGGCAGATCCTCCTAGTCAACAATGGCTTCTCTAACGGTTAGGTTGAAGACGTCATAAAAAGAAAGGTGAAACGCCATGCATCCTCTGAAGAGTCAACTAACACAACACTTGTACCCCCCTTGTTAGACTGTTTTCTAATAGTCTAACAAGGGGGGTACAGCTTCTCCACCCCCCTTGTGGGGGGGTGGAGAAGCTGTCACCCATGCAGCAGATCCCCCCCCCCCTCTCCACGACTGGGTTTGATTTCTAACTGATTCATTACGTTAATGTGGTTTCTTTGTGCACTGTTACAATTATTAGTTTTAGTTAAATGTTCTTGTTATGTTAAGTCTTTACTTTGCCCTTGCAGTTCGTATTGTCCGAGGTCGTCTGTAGTCGTCTCTAAGTCGTCTATAATCTTGTGAGGTTTAAGGCCTCACACGATTATAGACGGTCATGTTTAGTCCCGTCGTCTCCCGCTGCGCTACACGCAAGCAGCATTGATACACAGTAACAGGTTCCTCATTGTACTCCCTCCCTCCTAAACAAAAATAATTTTAGTGACTACAATGTCGTCCGAGTGATGACATTGTAGTCACTGTACTATGTCATCTGGGTGATGACATTGTAGTCACTGTACTATGTCATCTGGGTGATGACATTGTAGTCACTATACTATGTCATCTGGGTGATGACATTGTAGTCACTGTACTATGTCATCTGGGTGATGACATTGTAGTCACTGTACTATGTCATCTGAGTGATGTCAATGTAGTCACTGTACTATGTCATCTGGGTGATGACATTGTAGTCACTGTACTATGTCATCTGGGTGATGACATTGTAGTCACTGTACTATGTCATCTGAGTGATGTCATTGTAGTCACTATACTATGTCACCTGAGTGGTGACACCACACTTACGATGTCATATACGGTGACAACCCAATTGAAGGTTCCCCCTGATTGATTTGTCGAGTTCCTTAATTACCTCCTTGTCTTGTTTACCATTCCCTTCCCTTTCCCTCCGTCCCATCCCCAATCCTTATCCTGACCCCTTCCCAGTACTGTATGACAGTAATGGCTTGGCGCTTTCCACCCAGATAGTTCCCTTCTCTCCCCCCCCCCATTGTCTCCTGAGCCTGGTCACGTGGTCTCCTCTTCCTGGGGTTGTCTCCTGGGGTGGCTATACAATAGTTCTGGTTGGTCCTTAGCTTTGGTAGCTATGTCGTTTTTATACTGCCTCTCGGCTTCCCTCACGACTCTGAAGCTTTCATTTCTGACTCACTTTGGGTGGTGGGGGGGGGGGGGGTGGTTGTGGTGGTGGGGGGTGGGGGGTGGTTGTGGTGGTGGGGGGGGGGGGGGGGTAGTGGTGGTGGGGGTGGGGGGGTAGTGGTGGTGGGGGTGGGGGGGTGGTTGTGGTGGTGGGGGTGGGGGGGGGTGGTTGTGGTGGTGGGGGTGAGGGGGTGGTTGTGGTGGT